AACGTAAATGAGTTGAGAAGGGCGTTAGGCCTCATAAACTACATTAGTAAATACATCCCTGATCTGGCAACGACAGGCATGGACATGGGATGAACCACAGAAAAGTGCATTCAGCACTCTTAAAAGTTTGCTCACTAAAGCACCAGTCCTGGCACATTATGATCTGGTTAAAGAAACAGTGGTATCAGCGGATGCTAGCAGCTATGGTATCGGCGGTGTTTTACTGCAAAAGCATGACAACAGCTGGAAACCGGTCGCATACTGTTCTAGAAGGTGGACAGGGTCCGAAACAAGATACACCCAGATAGAGAAGGAATGCCTCACAGGCGTATGGGCGTGCGAAAGGTTCCAGAAGTATTCGGTGGGCATGGACACATTCAAATTGATCACGGATCACAAGCCACTAATACCGCTGATCAACAGTAAAGATCTAGACATTGTGCCAGTGAGATGTCAGAGACTTTTGATGAGACTCATGCGGTTTAATGCAAAAGCAGAGTATGCACCAGGCAAAAGCTTGGTTGTTGCAGATGCGTTGTCACGAAGCCCGTTAAACACTACGGAGGACTTTATGACAGCAGATGTGAGTTGTCATGTAGATGCAGTCATCGGTTGTCTGCCAGTGTCTCAACGCAAGTTGACAGAACTAAAAATGGAGACACAGAAGGATGAGCAGCTACAAACTGTGGAGAGATTCATTACGAAAGGATGGCCAGAATATGTCAAAAGTGCTCCTAACAGTGTACAGAGTTTTTACAAATGGAAAGACTCTTTGTCAGTGAGTGATGGACTGATTGTGCTGGGGAATCGCATTGTAATTCCAAAAACACAAGATGCTTGACAGAATTCATGACTGTCACCAAGGCTTATCAAAATGCAGGGCACGGGCCCAAGAGGCTGTATGGTGGCCCGGAATTTCTGAGGATCTTAGGTGCAAAATAGAGACATGCAGGTACTGCATAGAAAATAAACGTGCACAGCACAAGGAACCTCTACAGTCAACACCTCTGCCAGAAAGGTCATGGCAGTGAATAGCCATAGACTCGTGCATAAAGGGAAACAATATCTGGTGGTATCGGACTATTATTCGCGCTACTTGGAGATCCTTCTGCTACAGTCTACTACATCAGAATATGTTATTCAAAGACTTAAAGCGTTATTTGCAAGGTCTGGCATACCAGAACAAATTGTTAGTGACAATGGGCCGCAATTCTCCAGTGAAGCTTGGAGAATCTTCTGTGATATGTACGATACTCAGCACATTACATCAAGTCCGCACAATCCACAGGGCAATGGACACGCTGAATGTGCAGTTCAAACAGCGAAGCGCATTCTGAAACAGGACGACCCAGTGGTAGCACTCATGTGTTTTCGAGCTACCCCTACCTCCTCTACAGGGGTCAGCCCAGCAGAATAGCTCATGGGAAGGAAAATGCGTACTACCCTACCCACCTTACCGAAAAACCTGAGACCAAAGTGGCCAAACAAATCAAGCATAAAAGAGAGAGACAAAGCAGCAAAAGAAAAACAAACGTACTACTTTAACAGACGACATGGCGTGAAGGACTTACCAGTTCTTAGACCAGGGGATTCAGTCTTGTTAAAGTTAGACGATGAAGCAAAGTGGAAGGGACCTGCTACGGTGTTGGCAGAGAGTGCTACTCCAAGGTCATACGAGGTCTTCAGTGAAAAAGAGGGAGAGAAAAGGAGAAATCGCAGGCATCTTCAGTTGCTGCCAGAACAGGTTCCAGGAGTTACTATGAAGACTGGGGAGAGTTCAGAACAGTCATCACAGAAAGTTAGTTCAGAACAGTCATCACAGAACGTTCAACTTCGTGTGGACTCTGATTTACCTGTAGAGAACATTGTAAGGAAACCTAACATCACTATATCAGGCAGAGTAAGTAAGCCTGCGGAGCGGCTGAACCTATAGAAAAAAACAAGAAGACAAAAGAAAAGAGTATCGACATACCGTCAGTAACAAATGACTTTGAGTTATGCGACCAGGCTTGGTAATAAATGTAAAATTAATATCCGTGAATGTGATGAGTGACAGCAATGGCAAAGTAATGTTGTGTTTGATTTGAAAGAAAAATAAAAAAAAAAGTTCTAGTTTGAAATTTGTTAATTAAATAGTCGATGTGTTGGGTAAGTCTATGGAATATATGAAGAGTTTGGTTCCAAAACGCGATAAAAGCCTTTTTTTTTTTATTGCGTTTCCGCCAAAATCAGTATTGTATATGGTCGGTATTGAAAAGTCCATTTTTAATTTTACGCAAAATGCTATATCTGCCGAGTTATTATGTCATGTTTTCTTGCTTTCTTTCCAAACCGCGACAAACGCCAGTCTCCCTTCTCTGCAGAATGCGATATATCCGCTTAACCAATCACAGCGCACCATTCCACGCACTGTAAACAGTAACAACCAATCACAGCGCGCAATTCCACGGACTCTAGACAGTAATGGCGGCGCTTTGAATACACCCGGCATCCTAGTTTTCCTCATCTACTTTGTACTTTGTGATCAACAAACAAACTTAGGGCTGCACGATAAATCGCATGTGATTGTCA